AACGTCGGAAACCTACCCAAATCCACTAGCTTATTCACAAAATAGCTATTTCCATTAATCAATTTCGAAAATACGCAAGCTTTACTCAAATCCATATAAAATTTTAAAATATTGTTCTCAAAAAATCTCAATCTCAAAAATTTTTATCAGTTCGAGTAAGGAATAGTCAGATATATGTAAAAATCTATATACATATGTATATAAAATAGAAAACAATTTGTTTGTTTGTTTGTGTGTATGTTCCCGATAGGCGCTAAAACCGCTGAACAGATGTTAATGATATTTACACTGTATGTCATGACATGCCCTGAAAGTAACATAGGCTAGCTAAACTTTTAAAATTCCGCGTGGATGCAGAGTTATAGCGTCAATAGTAAACAAACCTCAAAATTTCGGAACATGTAATATGCGTATATCTTAAGAACGGTTACAGATACCGGCTTCAAAATTTGTGTGAATAACGTAGGTGTAAATACACACCATCCATACAAAAACGAGCTTGGTATGATCAACGGAAAGTACATTTTCTGCTGCATTTTCAAAATCTGCATATTGAAAACAGAAAACATTTCGTTTGTAGACTCAAAAATCGCTGAACAGATTTTACTGAGACTTTCACAAAATGTCATGACATGCCCTGGGAATAACATAGGTTATATAAACCTCTAAGATTCGGCGTATTTGCGGAGTTATAGCATCGAACGTACTCATGCCTCAGAAATTATGAACATGTAATTTGTGTATATCCTAAGAAAGGTTACAGATATCGACTTCAAAATATGTCTGAGTAACGTGGGAGTAAGTACGCATAATCCATTTAACAGGAAAATACAAACCTCATTGCATTCCTATCTATACATACATATGTATTTATATAGAAAATCGAAAGCATATTCTTTGTGGACTTAAGAACCACTGAACAAGTTTTACCAAGAGTACGTCAAACGATGGAAGTAACATAGGTTAGATAAACTCCTAAAAATTCGCGTGGATGCGGTGTAATATCATCAAAAATGAGCATACTTCTCAAAAAATATATGTATGTTAGTATCATGTAGCTACTTTCAAATTTGTTTCAGAAAGATGGCTGCAATTGCGCATCATCCGAAGATTTTGGAACGTTGAGGATATTTTTTAAAATATATAAAATACAAAATATTTACATATGTATGTATGTGTATTGAAACGCAAATGGAAAAAAATAATTGACATTATACTTTTTTCATTTTTGTCAGTTTGTGAAAAATTTTATTTGAATAAAAAAAAATACCAAAACTATATTATTCTTATAGAAAAAATGTCAATGCCTAATATCGAATATTAGAGTTGGTCATATATAAAAAATGGCACGTTTGGGACTAATTGAGAATAACTTCATTGAAAATAATATTTGAAGTGAAGACCCTAACACCCTGAAAAACACGTTATAAGTCGGATAGTGGGATATAAAGATGTGCAAATTAGTTATTTACCCTATTAAGTGTACTTATCTGTACTGACAATAACGACCAGTTCATTAATTATACTAACCGTCTTCTCTTCATTTTCGTACACATACACGTACGAAATAAAATTTGTGTAAAATTTATGAAAAACATATTTTTCTTAGTTTCAAAGGAAACAAGAATTACCACCAATATAGAAAACAGCGAAAAATTCATTAACTTCTATATCAATATCAGTCAGTTGCCAATAGGAAGACAAGAGAACGCATATATATATTTCACACATTTCTGTATTGTTAATACGATCATATAAAAATTCAAAATTCAGGGGCAGCGAAGCGCCACGGGTCCTGCTAGTAATATATATTCCTGAAAATAACTGTATATGCTGATAATATTGAAATAAATGACGTTTACTACATTTATTACATTTTATACAGGTATATGACGTTTACACCTTTTTGACAGTAGAAAATCTAAAAATTCGTCACACGGACCATCCCTGGTTGAAATGAAATCGATGAAAATGTTGATAATTTTTGGAATTTTTAGAAGAAGTTCCAAAATGGCCCTCTCATATGCCTTACGTTCGTGGTTGATCTAGGTTTGGAATCGTAAGCATGTTTATAATTAAACGAACTATTTACGTTTTCCAACATGCTCCAAAAAGAATGTAGTGATATGCTCCATATTTGGACTTAATCCTGGTTTGATAAAGTATTACGATGACTAAAGTTCGTATGAAATAATATAAGTCTTCAAAATATTGACCATTTGTTAGGGTGATACTAGAAGGAGTGGTATCAATAGAATACACCGATACATGTCAGGAACCCATTAAATCAGTTATCGTGTGCACCAGCCAAAATACCTCGACTTCAGAATACGATTTATCAGATACCTGGTTCTAAACTTTGCATTCTATAAAATAAATTATTTCATCGTAACAAACGATACTTCTGTAGTCCCCATATTAAGGTACCTTCCAATTTTTGGTATTTTGAGCACGATTTTAACCAAATAGACTGGCATTTTATGTTTTGCATTTATCGATGTTGGCCTAAGTTATTCAACGAGTTGGCCCCACATTGACATTTAAATACTCATAGAGTGGAAAATCTAGAAAAAATTCCTTATACAAAGGCCTCGCGTCATTTTCGCTATGTTCATGGTCTTAGATAATTTTGTGATATATAAGACCCGTAAGAATAAGCTTTTACTTTATCTCGCAAAATCCGCATTATAAAAAAAAATTGCAGATATTTCGAATTTTTCATTTCATTTTTTTTATTTCCTAAATTAAATCATATTTAAAACCTTTAATTCCTTTGATATCCTTCAACAAATTCGGGTGGCACTACAATCACAGGTGTATTATCCGAATATGCTCCGGCTGATTCTCGATGTGCTGCTGCTGTTGTTGCATGCGGTGAACATGGTGCCGGTTTCAAAACAGGTTGACAACTGAAAATATAATTTTTAGGGCAAGGAAGACGAGGAATGGTAACAGGAGTATGAACGGAATTATAAACGGCAGCAGGAGCTGGGAATGTCTTTGTTGCAGCAGATGATGAAGACGCTGGAGATTTAACATATCCACTACCGTAGGAGGGTAAACCAGATGCAACGGTTATACTCAATGCAAGTACTATAATGGTAAATAGAGTCATTGTTTTTATTTTTTATCTCCTCGTCTTAATATATGATGTATTGAGATTACAATTTGTACTGAAGATATGTGGTACATGTAAAGTATTTAAATATAAAAAATATGATTACAAAACAAAATTTTGTTCTTTTGGAATTGTGGGTTAACATTTTTCGTAAATGAAACATTTTAAGAAATTCGTAAATAACAATGCCATCACATTATTACAACTTGACCTTTGGTGACCTTCTTTAAAATTTGTTAATGCAAGCAGTAATAATTTTGACGTTTAGAATCATTTCATCATTGATGATTTCATATCAGGGTTTCCAGTAAAAGGTCATATTTTTATTATTTAAAGAGATTAGTGATCGCGTGTTTATTTTCATTATTCAGAGGATAGCAGAAACGAGTAAAATTGTCGTAAAGTTCGTCGGGCGAAACTTCTAATACCCTCCACTATGAGATGGACATTTAAAATACCTAAAATCCGTCGGGTCTTTCGTAATGGGACTATGACATGGTAAATTGGTGCTACGAGGAAACGAATTACAGACACTCAGTTTGGAAAATTGGACTTCAACTGGTCTTCAACTTACCAAAAGTGACAAATGACTTATGTGCGGGTACTATGTAAAAATGTGGACTTATATTTAAAATGTTCTGTGAACAAGTTATTCACGCGCCAAGGTGCCGGAATGCCAAAATACAGCCACTTCGTAATGCTAAAATATAGTCACATCGATTGGAAAATGCTCCAAGGACCATCATAAAACCTCTAACGAGTCTGCATATTTATAAAAAGGCTATGCGCAAAATCTACCAATATTAATCATTTTTATACCCTACACAACTATGTTGTCAGGGTATTATAGCTTTGTGCAGCCCCAAGAATTTGTAACGCCGCGAAATATAGGTCCTAGACCCACCTTTAAGTACACCGATCGTCATATCTCGACTAGCTGAGTCGATCTAGGCATGTGTGTCCGTCCGTCCGCCCGTCTGTCCATTATAATTTGTAAACACGATACAGACCACAGTTATGGGCCACGAAATTTTGCATGTAGGATGGGTTCTGGCCAATGAAGACCTATTGTTTTTGGCAAAGATCGGTTAATATTTAGGGGGTGAAATGGACAAAATACTTAATTATACCCTTCACCACACTGTGGTACAGGGTATTATGTCTTTGTGCATATGTTTGTAACAGGCAAAAGGAAACGAGATAGACACATGGTTCCTTTTGAGAATATGCATAGAATCACTTTCTGAGTCGATTTATGAATGTCCGTCCGTATGTCCATGTTAAATTGTAGGCAAAGTACAGGTCGCAGTTATGATCCGATTTAAATGAAATTTGGCATAGGTCACTTATTTGGCCAAAGGACGAACCCTATTGAAATTGAGAAAAATCGGTCCAGATATAGATATAGCTCCCATATATATTTTCGACCGATTTAATGTAAATGGTGTACCAAAGTCCTTATATATCTTTCGATTTGGACGAAATTTGGCATAACGTAATGAATTAGGTCTAGACTGATGTGTACCAAGTTTCCTGAAAATCGGTCCAGATTTAGATACAGGTGACTCAAAGTCCTTATATATCTTTCGATGTGAACGAAATTTTGTATAGCGTACTGAATTGGTTCTAGCATGATGTGTGTTACGTTTCCTGAAAATCGGTCCAGATTTAGATATAGCTTACATATGTATTTTTGGCCGATTTAATGTAAATGGTGTATCAAAGTCTCTATATATATTTAGATTTGGACGAAATTTGGCATGATTATATTTAGATATAGATATATATTTAGATATATTTGCACGGCATAGCGTAATGAAATAGGTCTAGAATGATGTTTGTCTAGTGTCGTGAAAATCGGTTCAGATTTAGATATAGCTCCTATATATCTATTCTTCCGATTTTATGTAAATTGTGCACTAAAGACCCAAAGTTTGTCCGATTGTCACACAATTTTGTACAATGAACTGTGGTTAATATAAGTTAATCTCTGTCAAGTCTCATTGAAATCGAAATCTGGCAAGTCTCATTATGTATATATATATATATAGCAACTCTGTATCTGATCAAATGAAAAATTTAGTATAGGTTGCAGAATGACATGTTTATGGATCAATTTTCGTGTTTATGGTCCTTCAACGCCTGTTAGGATTCATCTGTTGAATATACCGAAAGTGGTGAAGGGTATCATATAGTCGGCCCCGTCCGACTTTACTACTTTACTTACTGTTTTTTTTTTGTCTGGTTTTCTGCCAAAGAATAAGCATGCCTGGTTTGATAAAGATCGGTCAATATTTAGGGCGTCAAATGGACCCTGACTTTTGTGTGAAAAATAACAAAATTTGTATTCTATGGCGTATATAGTTACTCCCCCAGATGTTGATAGTATGTCCAAGAGGAGTGGTTGACCTTCAAATTGATACAAATTATATTGTCGTATGTACTCTGATGTGGGAGTTACACTCAAATATTTCCAGGTGCTAACGTATTGAAATATTATTTAGTAACCCATTACAACACTAGGGCGAAAATATAGCGCTGATCGCTTTGAAAATTTCCATGAGGATTCAGGTATGGTCAAGGGAAACGCCTATAATTTTCGATGATGATCATACAATACTATTGGGATGAAGTGGCCGAAAACTTTTTTTTTTGTGTGTTTCTCGAGTCGATCTATAGAATATAGAACCACGCAGAGTTGGATTTTCGTGGAAGTTGTGTAGGGTATAATATGGTCTGATTGGAATTAAAATTATTTTTACGAACTGTGACTACTTCAAAATTTACAGGTATAGTAATGCCGGATAATTGTTCGAAAATAAAAAAAAAAACTAAAGTAGCCAATAAATGTATACTAAGGGTATAGAAAGTGATTTTCTCTTTAAGTAAATGTCACTTCAATTAGACACTCTTCTCGTAAATTTGTAAATAAAATAAAATGTTCTAAAAATACCCAACAGAACAACTGTTTAGAATAAGTGGAACAAGACAACAAATGCACACCCTCCTGCACGTATCACATATTCGAATATAAAAACTAAAAATATCAGCATTTATTACATTGAATTAATGTTTCAGTTACGCTGACATATAAACATTTGTCCATTCCCATCCCCAATATTTCTGGTCCCCGCAAGACAATTCCTACATCACACGCTGCATACAATGCAGCTTAGTACAAGGAAAACTGCCCCAAAATGCATAAACACAAAATGTTATTTATTGAAAATGCTTAATATAAACTTTTACGAATGTATTTACATTCCGATCATACGGAACGGTGTGCGTGTACATATGTATTTGGGGAAAAGTACATGGTTTGTGTGTTCACAAATATCAACAAAATGTTGTCAGATGTTTACCTCTCGTATATCCGACATTCGAAAATCATCTGCAAGAATTGTTATGTTGAATGGTATAAAGTAACTTGCAAGCGTGTCAGAGAAAAATTATTCTAACTAAATTATAACGAACGATCATTCTTTTTGCGGAAAAGTTCATTTCAATTAGATGGTTCCACGGAATGACTGAACTCTTTTTTATACCCTTCACCAAACTGTGGTACAGTGTATTATGTCTTTGTGCATATGTTTGTAACAGGCAAAAGAAAACGAGTTTGACACAAGGAGAATATGCATAGAATCACTTTTTAAGTCGATTTATGCATGTCCGTCCGTCCGTCTGTCCATATTAAATTGTAAGCAAAGTACAGGTCACATTTTTGATTCGACTTGGATGAAATTTGGCACAGCTAATATATTTGGCCCAATTGAAATTGGAAAAAATCAGTTCAGATTTAGATATAGATCCCATATATATTTTCGTCCGATTTCAGGTAATGGTGCACCCTATATATCCTTTGATTTGCACGAAATTTGGCATAGCATACTGAATTGAGTATAGAACGATGTGTGTTAAATTTCGTGAAAATTGGTTTATATTTAGATATAGCGCCCATATCTATGTTCATCCGATTTTTATCCAAAGTCGCTTTGTATAATTCGATTTGCACGAAATTTGGCACAGCGTACTGAATTGAGTCTTAAATTATGAGTGGTAAGTTTCGGGAAAATCGGTTCAGATTTCGATATAGCTCCCATATATATATTCGTCCGATTTAATGTTAATATTGCACCAAAGTCCCTATATATCCGTCGATTTGCACGAAATTTGGCATATCGTACTGAATTAAGACTAGAACAATGTGTTTTAAATTTCGGGAAAATCGGTTCAGTTTTCGATATAGCTCCCATATATATTTTCGTCCGATTTTAGGTTAATATTGCACCAAAGTTCCTTTATATCCTTCGATTTGCATGAAATTTGTCATAGCTTACTGAATTGAGTCTAGAATGGTGTGTGGTAAGTTTCGGGAAAATCGGTTCAGATTTCGACATAGAAATTATGAAATTAAATGCAATTGCATGCAATTGTTAGAATACATATGTACAATATACCCAAATTGGTGAAGGGCATCATATAGTCGGTCCCGCCCGACTTTTGAACTATCCTTACTGTTTTTGCAAACTGAATAAAAGTTTTTTTAGAAATAAATGGGCAATTTATCCATCTTTAAACCAGTGAACGGAGTAGTATTGTCGGATATCCTACACAATTACCACTAAAATCTAACTTTCTGCGGATCTATATTCTGAGCCTGGCAATATTTCTCTTGACCGATTATAAGTCAACAGCTCCACTTTCTAACCCAGGAGTATTTTCCAAATATTGTTTCCCGATGCAAATATTTACGGCATAAAATAATAAAAATTTTGCCACTTTAGGTTTTGTTGATTTGTACATCAGAATATTAACCGATCGTCATCTAAACAGCAGTTCTAAGTACATAAAACAATAAAATTGATATCTATTTAAAGGTCAACTACTCCTCTTGGATATATTATCAACTTCTCGGGTCTATGTCCTTCATGAATAAATATGTAAGTTCAACATAGAATCGAAATTTTGTACTTCTTCACAACAAAAGTCTGGGTCCA